TTTTTAGCCTGAAATGCCAGGGACGCCCTTGCCAACCTCCGTAACGGGCTAATTTGACAGCTGCGTGCTTCCCAGTCATTCTCTCACAATTATGTTTCTAAAACACTTATATTACTAACATCACAAATTATCTATTTTGATGGGAGATTAAAAATGTTCAATAATGCAGTGAAACCGTGATGCAAAGATGCAAAAGGTTCAGAGTCCTTTCTCAGACACTTCTGTCCCAGAAAACAGCTTTTAGGTCACTTTTTCTGATGTGAAACACAAAGAATAATCATTTTTGGATGAGGAATTTTAAATCTATTCTGCCATTTGCAAAAGCAAAGTAAGGTGTCAAGTGGTCACCACATCCCCTCCAGCTTCCTGAGGCGACATCCACAGCACAGCACAGCGGCCAGGCCAGCAGGCCCGGCCCAGCCTCCCCCCAGAGCCAGCTCTCCGGGGCCATGCTGGCTATCGCAGGTTGAAGAATTTTAAGTCTTCTTGGAAAATGTATTAGAATATTAGGTTGCATTAACATGTTCTAGAAATGATGTTGGAAATTACCATGTAATAAGCTAAGCCATTTGACTATGAACTACTGTGGAAATAGCAAGACTTCTCAAATAACTGGGCACCTTAGCAATCTTTGCCTAATAAAAGAGACTTTAAATGTTTTCCTAAAATATTAATTATATGGGAAAGCACAAAGCTCACCTTTATTTTGCTGACTGTCATTTCTGTTAATTCCACTCACTATCCAATCCACTATCACCCTAGGCCAGGGGTGGGGAACCTTTTCCTGCCACGGGCCATTTGGATATTTATAACATCATTCACAGGCCACACAAAATTATCAGCTTAAAAATGAGCTGCTCTATTTGTTCAAACACTTAATTAACTCTCCCCTGATGCCTTGGCAGGGCCAGACCAAATGATGTTGCAGGCCTTATACGCAGGCTGGATGTTCCCCACCCCTGCCCTAGACAAGAACACACAGAGTTTGAGTGCAGTCATATATTATCAATTTCTCTTTGCTTTGAGACATTTTTTGGGTAGGTTTTCTACCCTTCAGCTCTTCTAGCTCAGTATTTAATTTACCATGCCTTGGGGACCCACAATCTCACTTACCTTCCAGACTACATTTAAACATGAATTCTCCCTGTTAATCTCCACCCTTCTAGTTGCAACTCAGAGTGACTCATCATTTTCACTGGTCCATATATTTTTTTAAATGACCTCCAATGTGAAGGAGAATTTTAAATTTAATTTTTATTTATTTATTTTTAAAAATTGATTCAAAGAGAGGAAGGGAGAGGGAGAGAGATAGAAACATCCATGTGACAGTGAAACATTGATTGGTTGCCTTCTGCATACCCCCCCACCAAGGATGGAGCCTGAAGCCTGGGCATGTGCCCTGACCGGGAATCGAACCAACAACCTTTCAGTGGATGGGACGATGCCCAAACAACTGAGCCACAACAGCCATGGCATGGTCCATATTTTTATATCTCTGTCTGTTCCATGAGTTCCTTACACCTCTCCTAGAGATAAGACTAGATGATTGAGTCAAAAAACCTTCCAGAAAACATGTCCCCGTTATATTTGAAGGTACCTGACTAAGAGACAGAATCATAATTCTTATACCTGTCTTCTAATTCACTCCACTGTTCAACCAGTTCAGTGAAATAAATATCTTATTCTTCAGCAATAGGCAGGCACAGCCCTGGGCATGTCCTCTTATTGTGCAGGCGTGGACTTACGGGGCAGCCCAGGGCACATAACCCACCGAGGACGGTGCTTTCGGGTGAAACCGTAACTTACACCCTGACTTACAGGCCTTGGCCTTGGGGCGGCCTGCCCGTCCTCTGCCCTGGCCCTGCTTCCGGTGCTGGTCCGGTGGCAGCTTGCC